GAATAGGGGGCGGGGTGAGGGTGGTGTCAGCTCAACAAGGAAATAATTAATTTTTAAAAAACTCGACTACCAAAATTACATGAACTCACAGATAATCTTAGCTGATGTGAAGTTAACTACTTCAGAAAAGCAGGTTAGAGATGGCGGACGCCGTAAGGAAGAAAGATGTATTGTATTAATTGACACTGATCAAACATAAACTGGAGGTGTTGAAAAAAAAGGAATTATATGAAATATAAGTCCCGTTTTCTTTCTCATTTATTTTTCTCCTTTATTGTGATTGTGATTTTAATCTTTTTATGTCATCATCATCATTATTATTTATCACTTTGATTATCATTATGATAATTAGTATTTTTTGCTTTTATTTTCATCATTTTGTAGAATGCCTAAATATAACTTTTAAAAACTCTTGGTACATAATTTCGGTGCACAAAACCCGGTCCTGGCTCTGGAACAGAGAAAGCTGCCAAAGCCAAGGAGGGGACTTAGTTTCCATTGAAACCGAAGAAGAATGGAATTTCATCAATGAGCAGATTCAAAGGCGAGATATTAAGCGCTATGGAGATACATGGAGTATTGGTTTAACAAAAAGGGCCGGGAATTGGACTTGGGTGAATGGAAGACCGCTGACTGTTTGCAAATGGGAACAAGGGGAGCCAAGAGGTGAACACGACGCGGCTTTCATATACAAGCGGTCCAATAATGGGGAGCAGGGCGTGTTTGGTGGTGTTAATGGCACAAGTATAGAATATCGCCGCGGTTATATTTGTGAGATTTCCGAGGGTAAGTTGTTATTTTTGTTGTTGTTTTATTTTGTTTTTTCTGTTTGTTTGCTTTCTTTAATATTATTTTGAGGAAACTAATGGCAACAGAAGCGCTTAGGCATCATAAAAACATTATTTGATATCGTTTATGGAACTTATGAAAGGATTTACATAAACCCTCTGACAGTCAGAATCAAGTTTACACTAACATTTGAATGAATGAAAATATGTTTGAAACGATATCAATTAACGTTTTCACGATACATATGTCTAACTTTTAGTTTTGTGAGCAGAGGAAAATTACAGATGGTTCTGTTACCAGTAATAACAGTAAACTTTCAATTATCAGTTATTTTCATGTAGTTAATTTATTGTTTCGATTGAACAAAATGATGGTGAATACCAATTGCGAAGAAATATCAGTCCAATTGCTTTTTTAGATAACAACGTGTGATGACGTGAAGTGCGTTATCTTTTGCAAAGAGCCATGCCAGGGACTCATTTCTGTTGAGATACATGCCAATTATCGTTTTATAAAACGAATACAAAAGACTTGCAAATTTATTTTATCTTCGCATAGCGGAATCAGTTCTGTGTTTATTCTATTTTATTTTAATGTCCGCTTGTTTGAACTATAAAGTTGTAGGTTCTAATTTCGATGCAATGAGAAATGTGCAGTGAACATAATAAACTAATTAGAATATGACGGACATTTCGGTCGAACTGGCAACCATTACTCTATAGTGAGGTTAGTACGGGTTACCTTAGCTCTCGTATGTCACCAGAGTGCGTATATACATTTTCTTGTTTAAAAAATGGTCAAAACCGAATTCGAATTTTATTGATGTTCCGCTTACCAAAAAGATAAACATAGGAATGCTTAGCATGCAAGACTTATTATTTTGGCTGGGAGGGTTGTGATGGGACTCTGCGTTCTTAACGGTTTCAGTTTTGCAACAGAAAAAGAGCATAACTTTTAAAAAAACGAAAATATCGCATTACTTCTCCTTAACAGAAAGGAAAAAAAAAACCCAATTTAGCTGACCTCACACAGGTTTTTTGTGGTCTGTTGTCTCTACTGTATAAAAAAAA